GACAAGGATATCCACACTTGCCACCATTATTCAACATAGTTTTGGAAGTCCTAGCCATGGCAATCAGAGAAGGAAAAGAAATAAAAGGAATACAAATTGGAATAGAAGAAGTAAAATTGTCACTGTTTGCAGATGACATGATATTATACATTTAGAATCCTAAAGATGCCACCAGAAAACTACTAGAGCTAATCAATTAATTTGGTAAAGTAGCAGGATACAAAATTAATGCACAGGGCTTCACTGGTGGTGCAGTGGTTGAGAGTCCGCCTGCCGATGCAGGGGACACGGGTTCATGCCCCGGTCCGGGAAGATCGCACATGCCATGGAGCGGTAAGGCCCATGAGCCATGGAAGCTGAGCCTGCGCCTCTGGAGCCTGTGCTCTGCAACGGGAGAGGCCACAGCAGTGAGAGGCCCGCATATCAAAAAAAAAAAAAAAAAAAAAAATTAATGCACAGAAATCTCTTGCATTCCTACACACTAACAATGAAAGATCAGAAAGAGAAATCAAGAAAATAATATCATTCACCATTGCAACAAAAAGAATAAAATACCTAGGAATACACCTACCTAAGGAGGCAAAAGATCTGTGCTCAGAAAACTATAAGAAACTGATGAAAGAAATCAAAGATGACACAAACAGATGGAGAGATATAGTATGTTCTTGGATTGGAAGAATCAATATTGTGAAAATAGTTATACTACCCAAAGCAATCTACAGATTCAATGCAATTCCTATCAAATTACCAATGGCATTTTTTACAGAACTAGAACAAAAAATCTTAAAATTTGTATGGAGACACAAAGGACCCCATATAGACAAAGTAGTCTTGAGGGAAAAAAAACGGAGCCGGAGGAAGCAGATCCCTGAGTTCAGACTATACTACAAAGCTACACTAATCAAGACAATATGGTACTGGCACAAAAACAGAAATATAGATCAGTGGAACAGGATAGAAAGCACAGAGATAAACCCATGCACCTATGGTCAACTAATCTATGACAAAAGAAGCAAGGATATACAATGGAGAAAAGTCAGTCTCTTCAATAAGTGGTGCTGGGAAAACTGGACAGCTACATGTAAAAGAATGAAATTAGAGCACTCCCTAACACCATACACAAATAAACTAAATAAATAAAACAAAATGGATTAAAGACCTAAATGTAAGCCTGGACACTATAAAACTCTTAGAGGAAAACATAGGAAGAACACTCTTTGACATAAATCACAGCAAGATCTTTTTTGACCCATCTCCTAGAGTAATGGAAATAAAAACAAAAATAAACAAATGGGACCTAATGAAACTTAAAAGCTTTTGTGCAGCAAAGGAAACTATAAACAAGACAAAAAGACAATCCCTGAATGGAAGAAAGTATTTGCAAATGAATCAATGGACAAAGGATTAATCTCCAATATATATAAACAGCTCATTCAGCTCAATATTAAAAAAAACAAAAACCCAATCAAAAAATGGGCAGAAGGCCTAAATAGACATTTCTCCAAAGAAGACATACAGATGGCCAAAAGGCACATGAAAAGCTGCTCAACATCACTAATTATTAGATAAATGTAAATCAAAACTACAGTGAGGTATTACCTCACACTGGTTAGAATGGCATCATCAGAAAATCTACAAGCAATAATTGCTGGAGAGGGTGTGGAGAAAAGGGAACCCTCTTGCACCATTGGTGGGAATATAAATTGATGCAGCCACTATGGAGAGCAGCATGGACGTTCCTTAAAATACTAAAAATAGAATTACCATATGACCCAGCAATCCCACTACTGGGCGTATACCCAGAGAAAACCATAATTCAAAGAGACACATGCACCCCAATGTTCATTGCAGCACTATTTGCATTAGACAGGTCATGGAAACAACCTAAATGCCCATCAACAGATGAATGGAAAAAGATGTGGTACAATGGAATATTACTCAGCCATAAAAAGGAACGAAATTGGGTCATTTGTAGAGACATGGATGGACCTATAGACTGTCATACAGAGTGAAGTATGTCAGAAAGAGAGAAACAAATATCCTATATTAACGCATATATGTGGAATCTTGAAAAATGGTACAGATGAACCGGTTTGCAAGGCAGAAATAGAGACACAGATGTAGAGAATAAACATATGGACACCAAGAGGGGTAAGCAGGGTGCGGGTGGTGGTGGGATGAATTGGGAGATTGGGATTGACTTATATATACTAATATGTATAAAATAGACAACTAATAAGAACCTGCTGTATAAATAATTAATTAAATTAAATAAAAAAATACTATCCATATTTAAACCTTTGCTCCAAGTCCTCCATAAAAGTTTTTATTCTCCAGGATGTGGGGCGGGGGAAGGTGGGAAGTTAAAGGAATTCCTCTTTCCTTAAACTTCCATCAGTTTGTCTTATCTCTTTTTTGGAAGATCCTATTCTCTTCCCTAACTTTTCACTGCACATGTTCTTCCTGCCTTCGAGGTAAATCTAGGTCTTTCCACTCACTTCTCTCAAGTCAAAGTTTCTAGTTTGCCCACAATTCACTTGGGATCATAATCTATCTTAAAATTCTTACACTTGAAAAACCCCTGATCCTATAATAATTCATACTTCAACCAGCTGTGACATTTTTAAGCTTGTGGTCATTCCCTTGTTTTAACTGAAGATTTGAACACCTGCCTTATAGTGTTACTCTCCATACCAAAACTTTTCACCACACTGTATAATTTTAGTGTCTGTATGCATGAACCACCTGATTCTCTAGGTTCATGTGGTCATTGATCATTACCTCTATTTTACTTCAACTAACAATATTTTTAGCCAAATCTTGAAACTTGTCAGTACCCTAAAGTTTCTGAAGGCTTGTCCTTGAGCACCATGTTTTCTTCCAAGACAGTCCTGTTTCTTTATTCTTTCTTTCTTATCAGGAATATACCTCTTCTGCAACAACTCCAAGTTCTCAAGTTTATTGGCCTCAATTGTTTCTTTTATCAGCCTGTTCCCTTTTTTTTTTTTTTTACTTTCTTCTTTTTTATCACTTAAAGTTTCTAGTCCAACACTCCAAACACACTTTTACTAAGAGTCTCAATCCACTTCTCTTCTTGTCTACCAGTGAATCACCCTGGAAGTACTCAGGATGTGAATCCATCCAGTTGTCTCCTAGTCTTTGATGATCTCTGAGATGATCAGCAGTTTTGTGAAGACTGAGGCTATTATAAAGGTACAGTATGTATTTTCATTTAAAAGTAAAGGGGGGGAATTCCCTGGTGGCACGGTGGTTAAGAATCCACCTGCCAATGCAGGGGACATGGGCTGAAGCCCTCGTCTGGGAAGATCCCGCATGCCATGGAACAACTAAGCCCATGTGCCATAGTTACTGAGCCTACATGCCACAACTGCTGAAGCCTGCGAGCCTAGAGCCCATGCTCTGCAACAAGAGAAGCCACTGCAATGAGAAGCCTGTGCACTGCAATGAAAAGTAGTCCCCGCTCGCTGCAACTAGAGAAAGCCTGCGCACAGAAATGAAGACCCAACACAGCCTAAGATAAATAAATTTATAAAAAATATACTTTTTTAATTTTTAAAAATAAATAAATAAAGGGGTAACATCAAGGCTTCATCCCATTCTCAAAAGAAAAAAAGTAACTTGGCCAAATCTCTTGAAAAAATAGTAATCACATGTTTCCCAAAAGATACATGAATAATGTTTATTAAAGAGAGAGCTCTTGTGTATGGAATGATTTCAGCAGCATGTATGTGATCTTTCTAAGATTGCCTATGATAAAAACAAACAAACAAACAAACAAAAGCCATTGGAATCTTCAAAATTTTGCACCATGGATCTCCAGAAAATGTCATATATGCCCTGTTACGTCAGTGTACAAAATGGAAATGTTTCATGACTCAGATCCCCTTTTTGTCAATAATAACTAAGCATAGTACTTTAATATCTTATATGTTTAGTATGGGTCATAGTGTGTCTTAATAAAGCTAGTAAGGTCTTGAGAAATGGCTTCAGTGTTTTAAGACAATGTTTTGCCTGTACTTTAGGATTTCATGTATTATTCTTTCTAAAAAGCAAAATTGATCATATAAATCAGCAGCTTAATATGGCTGTAACTCCTCATTATCATCAAAGTGGAACCCAAACTTTCTAAATTGGCTTCCATATCTGTTATAAACAAACCCAGCTTATCTCCCTTCACTCATCCAGCCAGTATGGACACTCAGCTTTCCAGCTAAATTGAACTGGTTTCACATCCCACCTTGGGTTGCCTCTGGGATTATATAGACTAATTCCTATACATCCTTCATATATCAACTGAGATGTTACTTGCTCCTGGATAACTTCTCTGCCCTCAATGTCTGGGCTAGAATTCTTCTCTTACTTGACTTATAGTACCTTATGTATTGTTTCTTTATTTGTCACTTTCCCCCTGTGGACCATGTGCCCATGAAGACAAGGATTGCATGCATCTTATTAATTGTCATATTGCTGACTCAGGATAGGCACTCAGTAAATAATTATTATGTTATTTTTGTCTGGTTTGTCCTTGTCTAGTTCATTTGCATGCCTCACAATGCCAAGCACAATAGTTTTCAAAAAGAGTATATTGAATGCAATTACTAATAACAGCAAATACAAAAGTAGCTACCATATATTATTTATAACATGCTAGGTACTATGTTAAGCACTTTACAAGAATTATTTTAGTTAATCCTTATAACAACTCTATGCAGAATGCAATTATTATCTCTATTTTATAGATGAGGAAACTGAAGCTTAGATAGTTTACCTGTTTTTCTCAGAATTACCTCTGGAGTTAGAACTGAAATCTAAACTCTTTGACTATACTGACTATGATCCACATTTTAAAAATGTCTATAGATTCAATGAAGGAATAAGTAAACAAGTGTGTATAAGACACAGTTAGGATGTTACATAACTTTATCATTGTAAAATTCTTTGAGTTCGGTGAAGTTCTAAGAACACTTTACTCTGGTTACCTTACAGTTCTTTTCCCAAAATGAGGCTGGAAGAAGCTCAGGTGGCAGATGAGACTTCACTATTCTAGGAGATGCCATCTGTTTTAATTGTTTTACTCCTAATTTTTTAAAAAAACAAAAGTTGGACAACTTCAAAAATTATAAATATTTATATGGATTTTCATAGATTAAAAAAATAAAAGTAACTATATACTCTATATTGTTTTCATAATAATAATACATATTCACTATGATAGAAGTTTAGGTAGAGAAAATTATAGAGAAAAAATAGATCAAATAAAATTTCACCTTTGAAAAAAATCATTATTAACGTTTTGGTAAGCATCCTTCCATACAAAGATGTCTATACGCCCAGACTCACAGCCATACAAATACCACACACACAGATGAAATATTTAATATCTTCTGATCGCATTTTTCTTTTCTTTTAAGATTTTTTTCATGTGGACCATTTTTGTAAGTCTTTATTTAATTTGTTATAATATTGCTTCTGTTTTATGTTTTGGTTTTTTGGCCGTGAAGCATGTGGGATCTTAGCTCCCTGACCAGGGATCAAACCCGCACCCTCTGCATTGGAAGGTGAAGTCTTAACCACTGGACAGACAAGGAAGTCCCCTAATTGCATTTTTCTCGATATATTATAGTAACACTTCAATGTCAAGAAATATATGTCATTGTAACATGTTTAATGATTTCATATCACTTTTAACTCTTCTTTTGTTGATTAACATATATATTGTTTCTAATTTTTCATAATATTAAAAGAATCTGTGATAAAAGTATTTTTGCATGTATCCTTGAAAATTTTATGGATATCTTCCTGGCATTTAAAGTACTGTTGCATACATCCCATAAAGAGATAAATGCTCACATATTACTAGGCTCTGCTGAAAGCATGTCAGAGCTATCCTATTCTCTCTATTCCAGGCATATGCTATACCATAAACTCTGTCAAGATTTAAAATTAAATTTACATTCTTTCTTATGTAGAAGACATAATACTAATTGCCACTTTTGCTTATAGTCTCTTTCCTTTCACCATTTACATCCACACTTAAAATATGTGTATATAGCTTTTAAAATTAACTTAAGCATTACCATTCATCACCTTTTCGGTTCTGCATTCCAGGTAAGGAATTCGATTAAAAATGGCATCTTCTTTGCACTTTTCCACATCACCCTCTGTATAAATCATGTATACAATTTCACTAACCCATGTTGTGCCTGAAAAAATTAAACAAATCTGAGTCTCCCACTGATGATGCATAGCTGATGATGCAGGGAGTGATAGATTTATAGTTGGATAAAGTAGGAAGTTACCAATGCAATAGTATTTGAAAGATGCCAGAATAACCACAGGACTCAAGAAATATTTCCTCTAAAATTTAATCTTATAGGATCCTAACATAGCATCAATAAATAAAGAACATTGTAATAAGATACACCTGTGGTAGAAATCTGAATGTGTCGATGATGAATTGTGACATTGTACAATCTGATAACAGTCTTGGAACTAAATTTTTACATCTAAAAAGTAACCATGCTTCAATCCACAAATTTTCTAGATAGCTTCTATGCCTCAGGTTGAGTCCTACTACAGAGTATATAGAAAAGAATAAATCTGGTCCTTGTCCTGTGATGTTCAAAGGCCCTCTGAAAAGTCAGAAAGAATGCTCAAAAATTACAACACTTCTTTTTCCTTAAGATGTTGTAATACAGATGGTCACAGGGATTCAAAGGACTTTAAAGGAGGAACTTTGTGTGCTTCTGCTGCTGCCGTGATGTTTCCACAAGAAATGCCTTCAAGATACCATGATAATTGAGCTTAGCTTTAACAAACAATTGGCATAAATTCACAAGTTTTGTAAGGTAGGAAAGTGGTCTACCAGACAGAAAATCTGTTTTTGTTTTTCTTAATCAAAGGCCAGATACTTACAAATAGTAAAGAGGCAAGGAAAGAAATTGGATGTAGATTATAAAGACTAAATCAGAGGCTACCTGAAGGGATGTGTGGAGATGAGCTTACAGCAGCAACCAGACACTGAGCCTAAAAAGCCTTGTATTTCATACTAGAGTTCAAGTTGTTTTCTAAAAGTTTTTCAAAGGCATTAGCATACATTAAACAAGAAAGCAAGATTATCATGGTTATATTTTGGAAGAATTCCTCTAGAGCCAAAGTAAATAAAACAATGGAGTGAGGGGTCAATAAGAAAGGTGACAAGAGACCTGTAAGAGACTGACTGTGAGGCATATCTAAGAGACTAAAAGGGCAAAACACATTGATTGACTGAATATGGGAGATGCAGAAGTAAGAGAAATTGACTCTGGAGTAGCTCTCAGGTGTCCTCTTCATGTGACTGGTTTTGTGCTGACATAGATCTAGACAAGAAAGAGAAATGCAGGAGCTCTTTACAGTCAGAGTAGTCAAAGACATATTTAGTGTTTGACATACTTGTGTTAATTGGAACAGTTAGAGAAGATAGAGATAGAGAAGAAGTCTGTACTGGACCTTTCTAATTTCTAAAGATCTAGGATTGTAAGACTCCAGAGTTATGACTAACAAGCTAATTTCAGGAAAAAAGACGTTGCTTGCAAATAGAGTTTCAGAGATGGACTTTATAAAGAGGAGCTGGTTAGCTGAAAAAGTGTTAAGTTTTAAAAAATCTGTGAAAATTGCTTATACTTTGTCTATACAACAATGACAATAATGAAATAAGGTAAACACAGTGGGTAGTTTTAAATTTTAGTTATGGTTCCATATTCATCCATCTATATTATGTGATTTTTCTAAAGTGGCCAACAATACCCATTTGTCAATGTGCTGCTCAAATTATAAGTACAGATTGTGGTCTTAGAATAGAGCTATCGTATGCCACTTTTTTGTATGTCTATACCAAAACTGCTATATCTGTCCTTATTTAATATAGAGAATGAGTGTGGGAGGGGTGAATGGCTCAATATTTACCAGTCAAGGTGGGTTTGTCATTTCTAGGTGAAAAGGGAAAAACTTTGACCTAACAAAGAGACTTACCAGATTTGGGATAGGTGACAATGACAAGGTCATCTGGCCTTGCCTCAAATGCCTCCACATCATGCCAATATTGGATAAATTCTTTATACAGTAGAATTCCATGGATTCTGCCAAAGTAATCTAAATAGGCAGGTTTGGAAGAATTCATCATAGAGTGGTACACTGAAAGAAAAAAAGGTATGCTTTCCACTTTGTATGTACTTTAAAATGTTTTAACATTAATAATAGCCCTGTACATTGAGTTTCTCTTGGGTGTCTAGCATTTCTTAGCTGTTGAGCATATGGGGTAAATGCATATTAAAGAAGGATATAACATAGCCTTGGTGTTTTAAGAGTTTCTAATCCTATTAATAAGTCTAACATATGAAAGAATAAGTACAAAGCACAATAAAGTAAGATGTTTCAAAACTATGTACAAAATGTGTGATACATTCAACAGAGCCTTCGATTTCTCTGTCAAAATTGATGGGGCATATAAAAAAGCTAAGAGATTGAGAAAATACAACAATACTTTGGCAAATAATCACTTTGATTAATTCTGTATACATTAAGTAACAATAAAGATTGATGGTCACATTTGATAGCTATTGCCAAATATCAAAGTCAGAGCTTCCTTAGTTCCTGAATATGTTTCATTTAATGAAAAAAAATCAAATGCTTGTTGAGTGTATTAAAAAGAAGATGAAATTAATGACACTGTAATGGATACGTCTAAGACGGATTCTTGAAGGTAGAGAAGATTCCTGTGTGACCCCTAGCATTACTTATACTTTTCTCTCTCACTTGATCAGTAAAGAAGTCGACACTCCCATTGAGTGACTTGTGTGACAATTATAAGGTTAAACAACATGGTTATCATTGACAGTTCCTCTCCTGATCCCATGTTAAATCATTTCATGTTCAGAGTTAGCCTTAAAATTTTTAATTAAGCACACTTTCCTTTATTGGCTTTCAACTTCTTTCACTACATTTTTACTCCCCAAACTTACCCCGTTCTGAGTTTGTGATATAGTATCTCAACAAATGTTGTCCTTCTTTGATATTAGCATTACAGCTAATATCCACCCTTGCCCAAAAAACTGCCAGATAAGTTGTTATACCCCTATACATTTGTGACTGCTGTGGCTTTTAGTGTCTTTTTCAGAAAGTTCATACCATAACAGGAGCCTCTTGGAGGCAGTAGTTCTTTTAGTCACCTAATGTGTTTCCTTTAATACAGAGCATCCCAAACTATGAGAAGTACACTCTAAAGAGGAAGTGAAATTAGCAGATATTGTAACAAATGCATTAACCCAAAGGAAGAAATAACTGATGGTAAAATTTTAGAAAGATGTGACCTACAAATCAAACCAAGTATTTAGACCACTGACTTACACTGAAAGCTCCTTCTGGTAGTGTTTCCCCTACTACATTTCAGGCTAAACAGTGGACATGAAAACTTTCAGATGTTACCTCCCATCTCTCCCCCACTAGCACCAGGCACTCAAACCCATTAATTCCATCTCCATTATTTTCTTCTTTTTTCTACCTTCATGGTCACTGCCCTAGTTAGGAAGCTCAACAACTACTGACTGAATATGAAAATAGCCTTCCAGCTGGCCTCACTGTAAGAAGTGCCTATTTTTTTTCTACAACCACCCTAGGAAAGAAAATGGATGTTATTTATTAGACACTTTTTGCCAGACATGAAAAGTTTTATTTTAAAACGTTATGCATATGTCATAAGGTTCTATGAAAAAGCAGACATCATTATAGATTAGGTTAAGTTTGTCCTGCAGGAGACTCTTTGAGGATTGAACCATATCCATTTTACACAAGGAAGGATAAATTCGCACACATTCATGCACCCATGTAAACATGCACATATAAATATCCTTATTTTTGACACGTTGAAAACATTAAGTGATATAGAGAAAATGAAAGTGCTCTCTTTATTCTACACATAAGACATGATCATTCCTAATAATGCTGTTTTTATGTTTCTAAATATTTAAGTATATATAAAATCTATACACTTATGAATGTAGTTTAATTTGTATTCTATTTTACATTCATTTGTAATCTATTTTTATACTGAACTGTATGATGTGAACATATTTTGCTGCTGGTACATAAATTCTGTTTTTATTCTTATAAATAACACATAGCAATCCATAGTATGGATGTAACATAGATGATACAACTCTTTATTGTTGGGAATCCCTGTTGTTCCTTTTTTCCAATATAAATGGTACTGCAACAAATTTCTTCGAGCATATGTCTTTTCACACTTATCTTTGCAGTGATGATGGAATTGCCAAAGTAAAAGGTATACACACTTAAGAAATTGGCAATTGTCTTTAACAAATCACTAAAGGAGTGTGCACATTTGCGCGGTATATGAAATTGCCTATTTTCTCACTGCATCATCAGTATTGGAAATTTAATTGTTGCAATCTTTCATAATTGAATATATATTATTTAAAATCTGTATTTCATAGATATTTTATAATTTTTCATATTTCTTAAGTTTATTGGTTCTTTTAATCATTTTGATCAATTTTGCCCATCAGGAGTGTTGTTTTGTCCTAACTGATGTATAGCTAGTAATTTATTATTTATTTATAAATTGAAGATATCTGCAGTTTTTCCATCATGTATTTCCAGTTGTCTTTAACTTTCTTACTGGTTTGCATAGAAGTCTATTGTTCATATAATCACTAGAAAAAACTGTGTGAGGAAGGCATCCCTTGCCCTGTCTGTTGATTTGTTTATTCATGTGAACAACTTTCTTGATGTTCTGCCAAGTTTGTAAGAATTGGCTTATAGTCAATCGGGAGTAGCTGATTTATTATCAAACAGTTGACTGACTTCTGGCTGACCCTTCATGGTCAATTTGAATCTGAGTTAAACTAGGTGGCATATAATAAAATCTCTTTCTTTGTTTACCTAACTTCTTTTAGTAAATTATCTCACATCACAATGTATAGATTCACCTCTAGCTGCTTTTTTCTTTCTCAAAAGACCTATTTCAGTTAGAAACTGTCAATTTCATTTCCTAACTGAGTATGTAGGTTACTGGTGTCTAGAAACACCAACAAAAATTATTAAAACTGTGATTCATAAATTCAGTTGAAGGAAGAAATATTTCTTCTTTCTCTTTTATTTCTTCTTTCCTTCCTCTTTTTCTTTCTGTGTTTCTCCATCCTCCCCTCCTCCACTCTCAATCTGCCTTTAATTCAGCAAGTACGCTCTGTCTGAGTTCCTCTGTTGTTACCAAACCCAGTGATAAGTGCTGAATACCAGGGTGAGTGTAGATGCAAAGAGCTCACTTCAGCCTCACCTTCTTCGACTTACTTGGATTTGAGCAAAGTGGCTGAAAGTAGAGAATATCCTCTTGTACATCATTCTATCCAGAACCTCAGCACTGTGTCACAAAATAGATGCTAAAAAATCCTCATTAAATTCAATTATTTAATTGTTAGATCAAATCTCTTCGGGCTCTCTAGGTTCCACTAAAGTCTCCTAGATAAAATAAGTACTATCCTGACAATGGTCTACCTGTCAACAACTTACCAAGGACTTGGATTTCTGCTCTTGTGTATCTGATATCTCTCACTTAAAAGTGATAGTAATATTTTCAAGGCCTCTAGTGGTAATAGACTTCTGATATATTTCACAGAAGTAAACACCTGACTAGAATTTAGTCTCCCCTCTAACTTTTCTACTCTGTTGCTTTGTTTTCTTATCAGTAAAATAGAGAACATGTCCAACATGCAGGACTTACAAGGCAATTAGGATACTGTAGTTTTATGTTAAAACTCTTTAGACAGCAAAGCATTATATAAATACAAGATATTATTTTTAATGATAAATAAGTGATTTAATAAAGCTTTACATGTTGTACATTATTAAGTGACTAAAGTATTGATTAAAAACTTCATTATCTCTATATTTCCTTTTTAGAAGTTTTGTAATAAATAATTTGCATTCTGTATTTGCTATATCTAAAATCTAAATATTAATGTCAGCAATAATGAGATAAAACCTGTCCAGACGGTCCTGTGAAAGAAACTTGGTGATCCAATCCAGTTTTCTTCAAATCTCCACTCAGGTTTCAAGCTGCAAAAAAAGATGAGAACTACTGTGCATTTGGAATGTTTCTGGTGAGCTTTTATTCTGAATGCCAGAGAAGGAGGCGGAGATTAATCTGCAGGGCTAGGCTTTCTGGAGTTTGTGTTGCAACGGAGTAATACAAATATGGAATCATACCTGCAGATGCAGTGAGCCACACAGAGTCATGTTTATTCATACAGAGATGTAGAAATTCTTCTGTTATTTTTCATTCTTGGTTCATTATCAAATTTCTATCTGCCAATAGCCATCTGTGGGTTGAGGAGAAGGAGGGAGAGGAAGTGAAGGCAAAGAAGAGGGAGAAAAATGTAAACATGATGCAACAGAGTATAAGAGAGCTTGGAAGACAGCGTCCCTTACTCATTCACTGATGAATAATCAAATAGGCGCGCTTGATCTTTGAGAGAATAAACTTACTAGGGGAGTAAGAAACAGAGAAGAAACAGGAGGGCATCGAGGACCCTGGATCAGGAGACCTAGATTAGTTTAGGGAGACCTGTCAAAGAAGGCATTGTAGTACTTGCTTGTGTCTTAAGTCACTTGGAAAACACCTTCTATTTAAATATCTTTGCCTTTAACTCTTAAGCATCCCTGAAAATCAAAAACAGGTGACAGCTAAGGAAAGAATGTAAACGGCACTCACCTTTGGATTATTATTATTTTATTTTTATTTATTTATTATTATTATTATTTTTCTGCGGTACGCCGGCCTCTCACTGTTGTGACCTCTCCCGTTGCAGAGCACAAGCTCCGGACGCGCAGGCTCAGTGGCCATGGCTCACGGGCCCAGCTGCTCCGCGGCATGTGGGATCTTCCCGGACCGGGTCACGAACCCGTGTCTCCTGCATCGGCAGGCGGACTCTCAACCACTGCGCCACCAGGGAAGCCCCTGGATTATTATTTTTAAAATCTCACTTCTCTCTGCTCCCAGTCACATGTTCAATGATGTAGTGTGAAATTTCCAGGTAGTTAGCCATTGGCACCATTGGCACCATCGGAATTTAGATAAGAGAATGAGAAAAATGGACTTGGAGT